CCCTTGAGTGGTTTCTGCTCTGGGCTGATCACTGCTCTTTCCTGTTGGTTTCTGGGCCCTTCACCACCTCAGTTTCTCCCACGGGCATCCTCTAAACTGTGAATTAGTCTTTCAATCAGCAGCACCTAAAACTGAACATGCTTCACCAGGTATGAGCTCACCGATGCAGACTGTAGGAGCTCTGTCACCTCCCTTTTCTGCTCATCACACTCCTACTAAAGCAGCCTAAGATTTGAAGTAGCTGTTTCTCTCAATTCTTGCTGACCTATATCAACCTCAGGGTCATCTAAAATCTTTGGGTTTTTTTTTTTTTCGTTATGGGCCCCTGAAAAGCCTGGTATCTCATACCCTGTGTGGGGGCAGATAAGTTTTTCCAATATTGTCTGTCTCACATGTATCACACAAAATCTCTTCTTCTGAGTTTTGGCCCAGATTCTCACCCTGTTTTGTAGACTTTCTAATGATTCATTTGAATGAGCATGTTTAGCTACCGGTTATACATTCCTCACAGTAGAATGACTTCATCATGCAACTCTGATGCAAAATTTATATCATCTCAGCTCCAAGACCCCCTTTGAGCCCTCACCATGTGGCCCATTTCGGGCACCCTAGGCCATTGAGTTTGACAATGGAAGAAGGTCCAGGCAAGCCCTACTCGGGTCTCTGGTATGTGCACATGACAGGGAGGGGGCTCATCACCTTTGCTGCCTATCACCCTGGACCAGTGTCAGAAAACCTGGGCTGTCTCCCATAATCCATCATCCCCACACCTTCCAGGAAATGAATGAACATGAGCTGAGCACATGGAGGTGCAGCAGATGGTTGGGTGGATTCCGTGATGGATGAGGAGCAGGGAACTGCACAAGGGGGAGGCTCCTGATCCCACTGTGCTGAACTCTGTGCCAGCTGTCAACAGCTGGACACTCGAGAAAGAACCATGTAGTGATTAATACTCCATCTGTTGGGGACTGTCGGCTCTGAAAAGTAATAGCAATGGCTAATACTCACGAAGTGCTCTGAGTTTGCAACATTCTTCTTCCTTGTGATAATCCTTATGATGGGAAAGCAGGAGTTAGCAACCCAGTTTTATAGATGAAGTGAATATTCACAGAGGTGACTTGCCCACTCCCACAGCTCTTGGGAGGGTGGAGCTGAAAGTCTAGACCCGGTGTTCTGGCTTGGAATCCAGCCTTCTCTCCACAAAGCCTCTCTGAAGCCAACTGCCCAGGTTACCAGTCAGTAAATGTCAATCCACCACCTGCTTGTTGGTGGGCCTGGCCCTGGGCTGCCTGCTGGAGGGGGGCACAGAAGAGTGTAACACATGGACCTGGACCTCAATGAGCTCAGAGAACCTAAAGCACTTTGTCAGGCACCTGAGCAGGTGGAACAGCCCCTGAGCACTAGAGCCACTGAAAGAAGAGAAGGCCAAGTGGGTGGAGAAAACTTCAGGGCAGACACAGGGCAGGGCTGGTTCTGAAGGGTGAGCTGCGTTGGAAAGCCTGGGGAGGTTGTGATGGGGGGTGCGCAGTGGGCAAAGTCTCAGTAGGTGGGTGTGGGTGTGGGGAGGTGAAAAGGGGCTGGCCTAAGTGCCAAGGATGGAGAGGGTGAGCCAAAGGCAGTGGGCAGCCATTGACCTTGAGCAAGGGCGTGAAACCCATACTTCAGGTATCCAGCTGACATTTATGGGGTATGCTGCAGGATGAGGAGACAATGACAAGTGGGACATGGTCCCTCCCTCAGGAAGGTGACGGGGGGATTGCCTCATGGTCCTCTCAGAATGAATGGCTCTTCATCACACGCCAACAGCATGGGACACCTTCCACTATTTGGCACTCAGAGGAATAAGCCTCCCAGTTTTCTCAAGTTTGTTTTTCTTTAAATGTAAACAAGTCTGTTGACTATCTTAGCTCAGAATTTCCATCAGTGTGTCCTGTGGAACACTGGCCCTGTCCTCTGTTCAATAAGGATGGAGAAGCCTTAATGCTCTACCCCGCTCTTGGAGAATCTCAGTGCTCAGTAGCCCTTTCGAGGCTCTGATAAGTCCTGCAGTTACAGAACACCTTTCGTTTTGACCAGAGAACCCCTTTTCAGGGAACTCCAGGAATATCCATGAAACTAGTGGGCTCCCAGTCACTGCCTTATCTCATTCGATCCTCACAACTGCCTCTCGGTGTGGGGCTATTATCTTTGTGTCCAGTGAGAACATGGAGACCAAGAAGCAAAGTGACTTGCCCAAGGCCACACAACTAGGAATGGTCAGATGGAAGTCCAGGACCTGACACTAATAAACCCTTGGCTTTGTCCCTAATTCAGCCTTCCGACGCCTTTTGAAGATGTTATTGTACTTCTTCTAATTAACAAAGTATACCTAAATATTTTTGGGGGAAGATACAGAAACTTATGGAGGAGGAAATAATCACTAGGAGTGACTCAAAGCTGATCAGGCACAGACCCTCCCAGGGGCCTGGGCTGCTTTCCAGTTCAGAGGCGTGTCTTCCCCTGGATGCATTGGCCCCCCCTCAGGTGCAGCTCCTCCTGGCAGGGGGCTGGCGCTGCTGGCTGGGGGTGGCTGACGGGTTTCAGCTAAGAGCAGACAGGTGCTTTGAGACAAGCAAGAAAAATCAGAAAACATTTATACTACTGATCAAGCAAAGTTTTATAAAGGCCACAAAAACTAAATTTCTATATCATTTTACAGGTACAGTAATTACTTTTTACCAAAACTATCTCCTAAACAAGACCTACATGGAGGAAATTGATGGTATAGTTAAAAAACTACTTTTTTAAAACAGTAAATTCAAATTCAGGGTCTTGACAGTCCACACTTTCACCTGGATGCTCCTACACAGCTGAGTGCCAGCAGAAAAAGATGAACACTGGTCAATGCGCAGCGCATAAAAAATGGTTTTGAAATACTTGTATTTGACACGAAATAGGTGAAAGATAACAAGAAATACTAAAGGTAAAAAATATAAAGAATATATATTTTTTTGTAGAGCAGGCCACAAATAAAGGCAAAGCAGGGCACCTAGACAGAGCAGTGCACAGAGATGGAAAGCAGAACGAGGCTCCCAGGGGTGAGGGTGGGGGCGGGGTGGAGAGAGCAGGGAGCTGCCCAGTGGGCAGGGCTTTTCAGACTTGCCAGATGAACAGCATTTTGGAGACGGACGGAGATGATGGTCGCACAACAATGTGAAACTATTGGGTTGGCCAAAAAAATTCGTTCTTTTTCTTTTTTTTTTTGTACACTGGCTGTAGTAGCGTTTAGTTATCTCTGACTTCATTTGAACGATTTTGTTAGAGTGTATTGTGACAGCTGTCATATCAGCATGCATTTAAAAAAACTTATCAAAATTGGTTAATTTTCTGTGTAGCCACTTTAATATTGAAGGTGGAAGAAAATAGGCAACATTTTCAGCTTATTGTGCTTTATCATTTCAAGAAAGGTAAAAACACAGCTGAAACACAAAAATGATTGGTGCAGTGTGTGGAGAAGGTGCTGTGACTGATCGAGTGTGTCAAAAGTAGTTTGTGAAGTTTCATGCTGGAGACTTCTCGCTGGACATGCAGTCAGGGAAACCAGCTGAGGTGGATAGTGATCAGATTGAGACATTAATTGGGAACAACAAATGTTATACCACACAGAAGATAGCCAACATACTCAAAGTACCCAAATCAATGATGTTATTGGTGAAAATGAAAAACATCTATTTTTTTAATGGAAAAAGCACGTGGACTTTCTGGCCAACCCAATATTTGACATTGCTGAGGTGCACACTTACAGGCTGCTTGCCCTCAGAGAAGTTACCGAGTTCCTTCATCTCTGTAAAGCGGGAATAATAACAGTACCTACCCCATGGGGTTGCTGTCAAGGTTAAATGAGTTTATATAAGAAAAACACTTAGAATTGCCTAGCACATGGTATATACCATAAAGTGTTTTTTCCTCTCTTCATCTTTCCCTCCTCCTGTTATTATTATTACTGTTAATATTGTAATTAGTATATCATTACTATTTTCCCTCTGTGATGCAGAGTCTCACAGTGGAGCCTCCCCCGCCCCCCGCCAGGGACAGTCAGGAGGCGCAGGCACTGACAATGACTGAGACATTTCTGACTCAGCTGTGGGTGGGCAGCTGTGCAGTGAGGAGGGCTGAGCCTTGGCAGACTGCTCCCCTGCACGAGCTCTGACCCTCAAGTACTGAGGCTGAATTCAACCAACAAACGGGGGCCTGTTTATAAATGTTACCCTCAGAGCTCTGTCCTCGGCGGGACTGTCCACATAGCTTGACGGTATTGCCATGGCTCAAACCATTTTTGCAATTTCCCTAATGCCTCCGCCCATCTCTACCCCGATCAGAATGTGATTGCTCTCCTAACATTTTGGTTGGATCTCCTTTACTGAATGTGATCGGTCATGCTTAGGGCTATAGTTACTTCTGCCTGAGCCCCCCTCTCATCCTGGATGGCCACCCCCTGGAGACAGCGAGCTTGCCCTCCGCTCTCCTGCATCCCTTGCCCTGGTGCGATGTCAGTGCTTCGTAAGTGCTGGCTTTGCCTCTGAGTTACACTGAGGCTGGCTTTGGGAATCACGGGACACTCTTCTGAATATCCCCAGTGTGGCCAGTCTGTGTCCTTTGGGGGTGGCTGTGACTCTAGGAAGACACAAAGTAATTTTAAGCTAAGTTTGGTGAATGCATTAAAACAACGCCAATTCTGTCCTATAAATAAGTTTACAAGGCTGGTTTCCTTGCATGGCTGGTCAGCCATGTCTACCTGCCATTCTCCTGGAAGGTTTCCAAAAATCACCGTGAATCCAGCTGTTAGAATAGGCTTATGAAGACCAAGGCTGACTTCGTAGCTCCAGACCTAGCAGCCATTCCTGTGCGTGGCTGTCATGCCAAAATTGGCCACCAGAGGGAGAACGTGTTCCAGAGCCCAGGGAGGGGGTTGCCTCCACAACTGCTCCAAAAACTTTGTATTTAAAGACTGGCCGCCAGAGCAGCGGCAGTTCACATCTCAGTCAGTACTTAGCAGAGCTGCTGGTGCCTCCACAGAACATCTCCTGAGCATTGCCCCTGGCTGAACAAGGCGAGGCACCAAGCCGGGGACACCCCAGCCACAGGCCCCGCCTCGGGCCCAAAGCTGAGTCTTGCCTCCTGACCTGATCCTCCTAGAGAAGTGACTCCCCAAGGCGAGTCACTGCCTATCCATCCCTACAGCCTCTTTCTATGACTCTGTCTGGATTTGGCAGGCTGTGGGGACAGGCTCCAAGGGGCTGCCTGGGTCTCAGTGCGGCGGTAGCAGCCAGCTCTCCAGCCACCGCGGTGAATGCCGGGAACTGAGGGGACAGCCTCCGCAGCCTCAGTGGAGGCACTAGGGTGAGTCTTTATCGCTTTGACGCTTTGCCACTAACTCTGTCCCAGCACCTGTGCATGGTGTCCCAGAGGCAGTTGGAGAACTCTGAGATGTGGTGGATGGAGCAGGGCACGGTGTTTAGGGACCCTCGGGCTCTGGAGCATGGAGGTGCCAGCCCCAGGTGGGAAGGTCCCAGGCGCAGCCTGTGGAGATCCTCAGGGCTCTTGTCTGGCTGCCTGGACCGGCGAGGGTGAATCCGCAGGTGCTACAGGAAACTATTGCCTTAGTGACAACCATTCCCGGCTTGTGTCACTGCTTCAGAGCCTACTTAGGGAGCAGATGGTACAGGTGACAGTCCCTCTACATGTGCAGAGTGTGTGTATCTGTGCATTTGCATGTGTGTGCACATGTGCCTAGTGGTGGGATATATGAAGGGGGAGCTCACTTATAAAACATCCACGCCTTTCCAGCGTTGGGTTACGATTTCGGTAAACTATGTGCACTTAGAGAAGGAAAGGCCTCAGAACCTCCTCCGTGATGCTCTCTCCAGAGAGGGCTACATTTGTGCTGATTGATTTTGATGAGTTTAATGCCAGGCAATCCATAGAGGAGCTATGAGCCCTGCAGAGCTAGGTGCTGGAACCCAGAGACAGCATCTTTGCAGCCACAAGCAAGGTTCATGCCACCCCCTCAGCGGGGAGAACTGGTCCAGTCCTCTGCTGCCCAGAGCGGGACTGAGAGTCAGGGCCTAGGTTTCGGCTCTAGTCTGCATTCACAGTGGCCTTTTGCGAAGGGAGCCCTGAACAGCATTGTTTCTGGCACTGTCATGGCAGGGTGGAAGCCTCAGGAACCTGCAGACCCCTGACCTCACTGCTTGGTACAATCAGAAGATGCTGGGGGGCTGCTGGTTCTCACCAGACTCTGCTGCCGGCTTCCTGTGTGCCCTGGTCCGGGAAGCCCTTCCACGCCCACTCTCCCACGTGAAGCTCTAGATAACTGAGTGGCTGGCAGATGTGCTTCTCCCCATCACAGAAATGATGACCCGAGGCTGCATGAGCTCAGCTGATTGGGCCCTGTTCCCAAGTCATGAGAAGTGGAGCTGGGCTAGGACCCCAGGTCTGCTGGCCTGCACAGGGCCGCCTGGGGAGGGGCTGTGGATGGCTGAAAGCTTCAGCTCTAAAATGCATTATCAGGACACTCGACGGGGTCACTGAAGTGTCCTGTCCATGGTGGTGGGGAGTGGAAGGGAGCCCTACTCTGACTCAAAACACTGAAGTCCAGGCTCCTTGGACTCCATCCACAGGGCACTTTGGTGTCCACACATTGCCCATGTTTCCATGGCCCTTGTCCCCTCCCCTCCACTCTCAGAGCCTTCCCGGGGCCTCAGGGCCCCTGCCTGGCCCTCTTTACTGACTCATGTGGATGCTAAAGGTACGTCCTTCCTGGATGAGGCAACCGTGTGGCTGAGCCAGTGCCTTGGTTTGGAAGTGTTTGCATGGCACTTCGCCGCCTCTGACATCCGTTGGTTCTTGCCTCCTTGTGCCTCAGTTGGCCTATCTTTAAAACTGGAATGACAGACTGACAGTACCTGCCCCCCTCACAGTGCTCCTGGGAGGACCGAGGGATCCCAGATGGCCGATGGTCTGTAATTTGCGGGGTGTGTGTATACACAAGGGGTTTTGCTCCATCGTCAGCATGCTTGACGGTTAGTGGTACGTTGCCCGAGAGCACACACTTGGCCCAAAGCCCCTAAGACCAATGATCGAAAGGTCTAAAAGAAAACCTGGGGCAGACAGGACCTTCTTAGGTTTCATTCCCAAGTTAACAAACATAAACAGAACTGGCTGAGCATCTGCAGCTTCATCTCGCTCACATCTGGCCTCCTGCTCGGCCAGCCCCCCTCCCCAACAAGCTCCCAGGGCTCCTGCCCTACCAGCTGAGGGGCGGAGAGAGAGCAGAGCCGGGTGCCCTGCAGACACATTCCAGATAACAAGCGGTGCATTCTAGCTCTGGTCCGGAGCAGAGGAGCAGAGGGGAGGACAGAAATGAAGTCCCGATGCCTGCACTCCCAGCCTGGCAGCTCTGGCTCTGTGCGACCTCTGGGCAGCATGCCTGTTGCCTTTGGCAAAGAGGGGACTGCCGCCTGCGGAGGACACTGGCCTCCTGCTTCGCCGCTCTCCGGGTTCCGGGGGAGGCCAGAGGGTGGGGTGCCACCCACAGTGCTGTGAAACTAGGGAGGGTCCCCTGCAGCTTAGCAGGCATGCAGCTGCTCAGGGCCCCACCTAGAGGCCCTTGCTGGGTGGAGGACTTGGAAGGACGGTGGGTATTGGGAGACTAGCAAACCGGACACAACCACAGCATGGAGAAGCTGGGGTGGGAGCTGTCTTCGGGTCTTCGGGTTTCTGGGAACCCTGAGGGGCAGGGAGGAGAGATCATGGCAGAGACATGGGCTCCCTTCTGTCCACCCCCCGCAACAGGCTGGGAGAAAGGCCTGCAGAGACTAGGAACACCCTGGTTGTGTGTGCATTTGAGAGCATGTGTCCATGTGTGCACATGTGTGCGTGAGCCTGTGTGTGCACATGTGCACGTGTGTGTGAGAGCACGTGTATGTGTTGGTGTGCATGCATGTGGACACATGTGTGTGTTGCAAGTGTGCACAGATATGCAGACGTGGCATCTCGTTACTTGAAAAGACAAGAGCAGAACATGCTGCCCATCCCTTCTGGCTGTCAGAAGGACAGCTGAATGGGAACTCGTCATTTATGGCCTCTTCTCCGCCCTGAAGTCAGCGGTGTCCCAAGGCCAAGGTCATGTCATGAAAACAGGGGAGGATTTATGTTTGCTCTGCTGGCAGGACCCATTGGCCAGCCTCCCCCTTCATCATCCCTGTTCACTGAAGGGGTCCCAATGCCACCTTCCCACCCGCCTCTGATGGGGAACTCGCCGAATGGCTGCTCCTTTCAGTCAGCAGGCACTGTCCCTCCCCTCCCCCTGTCCCCCTCCCCCTCTGCCTGCCAGGCTGCTGCCACCTCCTTCCAGGTGGCAGACCCCTAGCTGGCACTCTGGGCCTCAGAACTGAGTTTGCCCCACGCTGGACCTGGAACCCATCCATCCTCCCAAGGACTTGAATCTTTCAAGGAATTCACTTTTTACAAGTGGAGTTTTCGGATTCAATATCCATCTAGTCAAAGATCATCTGAACGCATGTCAAGCTAAACTAATGGCTAAAGGAGAGAGTAACTTATAAATCATTGAGCGTGCATGCAAGAAAAGAATATCAAGTATTTTGTGTAAATAAATACTTTGTAATCTGGCTGGAAAAAATGAATTCTCTCATTATAGAATGCATCAGAGCAAACCCAGCAAACCAAAAGAGGCACACCTCCCCAACTTTTCAATGCACCAGAAGGACCAGGACGCCCCCCCCACCCACACACACCCACACACACACACAATCTTCCCCATCACATACATGGGACGTGTGTACACTACAAAAGGGGGTGGTGTTGCACACACCTGTGTACACAGGGCCGGTTCACTTCGGAGAACAGGGCACTTTCCCCAGCACATGGGTGTGCTCCTGGGACAGCCCCACTGAGGCCAGCCCGGCTGGATGGGAGTGGCGCTGGTCTGAGCTGTGTGGGCCGGTGGTCTCCGTGCCTGCTTTTGGGTCTAGTTCCTCTCGGTTCCAGCCCAGAGTAGAAGCCCAAGTCTCCAACAGACTCAGGGCTCCAGAGGCTCAGAAACTGCTCCATTTGAGTCAGAAGAGTTGGCTCCTCCAGGGCCCCCCAGGATGTTTCCTGGTGGCACCCACCCACCTCAGCTCAGGGTGCCAGCCCCACCACGGGCTGTTGAAAGAAGCAGATGGATCCCACGATCAGAAAGCTGTGAAGGGCCTTGGCCTTCTAAGCACAGAGGAAATGAGGGAGGGGAAGTCAGAGTCCTAAGGACCCAGTAGATGCCACCTGTTATCGAGGGCAGGGCCCCAATGTTCAGGCTCAGGGTCACAGGGTGGACACCCTGTTCTATCCATGCATTTCTGTCTCCACCTACAGTTTGTTCTCTGTCTCCCCCCGCCCCCCACCTCCTTCCTCCCTCTCCTCTTCTCTCGCTGTCTCTCCTCTTCTCTCGCTGTCTCTCCCGCTGCTGCTGCTGCTGCAGGACGGGATGGAGAACAAAGCCACATACTTGAACACCATGAGCGACCGCGACACCGGCTCCATCTTCGAGGAACCCTTTGATGGCAGGAGCCTGTCCAAACTGAACCTGTGCGAGGATGGTGAGTGCCTCTGGCTCTGGCTCGGTCTCAGGGAGAGGGACCTGCCCTGAGCCCCACACCCAGCCTCCGCATTGTCCCAGGGTGGGCTGAGTCTCCCGCCTAGTGCTGCGTAGGCTGAACTTCATGTTTTGAAAGGTCTTTTCCACGTGTCTTCTCATTCATGCATCTCAGCGAACTTTGTGATCAGCAAAATTTACATGGTAAGAGGTGAGTACCCATTTTACAGATGAGCTAGTGGAGGCTGAGAAAAGCATTAGGGGTAATTCAGCTCATCGGTCATGGAGGGGCCCCAGCACTGAGTTTCCTGACTCCTTTTGCCTCTCTCCTCTGAGTGAGTGAGGCTGGGGTCAGGCAAAAGCATCTGAACCTATTAGCCTGGACCCTCTCAGGTGAGGAGCCTCCAATCCATTTCCACAAACTTTTGCGAGAAGAAAACATACTTCTCCAAATGCTCAACTTCTCCCTGGGTGGAAAGCTCCCAGTTCCCCATCCCAGAGACGCAGATGGCCCTGCATCTTAGGGGGCTGGTTATTTGCTAGCACTTTAGTGATGAGCCGCTGTAGCTTCCTTCAAAAACAGCCCAGAGCTTCGCTGGCAGCCTGACTCCTGTGTATCCAGCACAGAGCTTGGCACTTAATAGGTGCTTTTAATAAATGCACGCTGCACGGACGCACACACTTCTCTTTGTGTTGAGCGTAGGAGTGGAGAGCATTGTCCTCCCTTCGAAGATGAACAGAAGGAAGCTCACGGAAGTCTTGCAAAGACTTACGGTCAGTGAGATAGAGACAGTCTGTGTTACTCGGGGTTCTCCAGATGACCAGAACCGGTGTGATGTATATGTACACATGTAAAGAGATATATCGTGCGGAATTGACTTACATGATTGTGGAGGCTGAGAAGTCCCACTATCTGCTGCCTGCAGCTGGAGACTCAGAAGAGCCAGGGGTGTAATTCAGTCCCAGGCAGCAGGCCTGAGCACCAGAGGAGCCAATGGTGAGGGCAGGAGAGGATGAGACAAGCTGCCTCCACTTTTCCTTCTCTTTATACCTTCAACTGATTGGATGAGGCCCACCCACACTGGGGAGAGCAATCTGCTTTACTGAGTCCACCCATTCTAAACTTAGTCTCATCCAGAAACACCCTCTAAGACACAGGCAATGACATTTAATCTGGGTGCTGTCATGGCCCGGCCAGGTTACCACATAAAATTAACTGCCAGGTAGCCTTTTGTCAGGCACACATTTTGTCGGCTGCGCTGCACTCGCTGCCGCCTCCATTGTGAAGTTACTCACAATGGGAAATGAGCCTCCGTCCTGCCCCAGCCATTCCTTCTCCCACAAGGTGCTGTGTAGGAGGGGAAGCAGGGACTGAGAGCGGCCTCAGAGCGGAGAAGTGACAAGGTCTTGTCGGGCTGGTGGCCAATGTGCCCCCTCAGCTGCCCTAGTCAACTGCCCGCCATTACCTCTCCTCCTCTGGACCCCACTCAACATACACATGTTGAGAACCCACAACACGCCAAGCTTTTGGGTAGGTGCCGGGGTGTTGCAAAGAGAAACGAATCCATCCCTGCCCTCAAAGGGCTTAGGGTCCCAGTGGAAGGGGCCGGCTGGGGACAACTGGTTACCCACCATTTAAGTAGCGAACATACGTGTGATGACTGAACTCTGGCAGGGCGTGGCCTTCCCGGAAAAGGCCTTAAAGACTGAAGACAACTTTGTGAGAGAAGAGGCGGGCGGGGAAGAGTGAGGCAGGCTGAGCCACGCTGAGCCCAGCCCGTGTTTCTGTCAGAGCAATGACACCGGGGAAGCGAGGAAGGCCCCTGGGGCACCTGGTCCCCAGCCAGGGCTCAGCACACCCTCCCCCCCCAGCACACCAGCAAAGGCCCCGTTAGCTTTCGCATCCCTGCTCCAGCCCTCTCCCACCGGCCCATCCCTGGGGAGGCCTGTTTAGCAAGGGAGAACCAGGGCCCAGCCCTGGGAGGGTGACCGAAGAGCCACCAGCCCTGGCCTGGGTGCTAGTGGGGGAAGGGCAGGGTGGGGGGCCCGCAGGGTGAGGAGAGGCGTCACTGGGTCACTGTACCCTTTTCCTCCTACCTTATCTTACTCTCTATTTTATGAACCCCAAACTTAAAAAGAAAAAGATTATTGGGACCAGAAGGACTGAAAAATAACAGTAACCCCAGCCACTGTGCTTCCCAGGCCCCCAGCCTCGGGGGGGCGGTCTGATCAGAGCAAGCACCCCGGGGTGGGTGGGCACCTGCGGTGTAGTGCCCCACAGACTGTGGACAGCAGAGGTCGGAAGACATGGTGCATTGGTTGACTCACCCCTCCCGGAGTGTGTGGCCAGACCAGGGTATGTCCCCTCTCTGGGCCTCAGTGTCTGCATCCGCCAGATGGGGGCAGAGGGGTGACTCGGAGGTCCGTCCAGTTCTAGAAGTCTGTACACAGAAATAGATTTGGTCGCTGCATTGGGGGTGCGGGCCTTTTTGTCGGGACACGTCGCTGCCCCGAGCAAAGCCAGGTGAAGATTCCCACCTCAGTGGGAGGAAAAACCCGGGCACTGACCTGGCCGAGGAAGCCGACTTCCACACTGAACCTGCTGGCCCGCTGGCCAGGGCCCGCGGCCCCCTGGAGGTCGCTCCCCTGACTGGCTCAGCTCCCTCCCTCACCTCCCTCCAGTCTTCTTCACGCAGATCTCACCTTCCCCAGTGGGCCTTCCTGCCCCTTCCCGCACCCCCCCCCCACCCCCTCCCTGCTGCTCTTTTTCCTGGAGTCCTACGTCCTTCTGAAGTTACATATGTGATTTCCTTTTGGTGTTTATCATTCACCACCTATTCCTCAGGGGGAGAGCAGGCTGGACAAGGGCAGCATCTCTGTTTTGTTCACTGAGGTCTCCCAGCCCAGCACACAGTAAGTGCTCACGAAGTGTTTGTTGAATGAATGAATGAACAAACAAATGAATGAACACAGGTGTCCTTGAAATTTAAAGGCACAACACAAATTCATTCCAAGTCCGATTTCCAAATCATCTCAATCTCCCCTGGTCTTCATTCCTGGATCCCAGGAACAGGGGTTGGGAGGGGGAGGGGGAGAAACCCAAAAAGGACTAGACTGCTAAGATGCAGCCAGCTACTCAAAAGCTCGTGGGTTTCTGGTTGGTTTTTCCCTTCCCCTTCATTTCTGAGAGGAACTTGACCTCCGACATGCAGAAGTTCCAGCCAGGTTTGAACCGTGTCCCCAAGACTTAGCGTTTTCTTGACCTTGATCTCTGGAGAGTATAACAGGAGAGGGGAAGGAAGGGTGGGGCTGGCAGGCAGCTGGGTAGAACTGATGGGAAAGAGGACAAAGGGCAGAGGTGGGGGCAGGAAGGAGACCCGGGCCACTCGTGGCCCTGAGCGAACTAAAACAGTGTCTGGTGGGCCTCACAGGGCCTCCAGGTCCTTTCCCGGTTTTTCCCCTTGAAGGTAGGAAGATGGGGATGAGAGGGGGTACCTCCCCTTGGCCCTGGGGATACTGGGCCTGGGGGAGACAGAGCCCCAAGAACGCAGCCCAGACAGGTGGGGTGACCTGGGCGGTAGGGGTAACACGTGGTTCCACAGGCGGTGCTGCGACAGCTTCCCCGCCCCTCTTCGCTGCTCTCCTTTCCCTTCCGGTCTTTTCTCCTCCCACCCAGGCCTTTATCCCTTCCTTCTTTTCCCTCACCAGGTGCGAAGGGGAGGTGAGGTCTGTTAAGTGCCTTGGTTCCTCTGTCCCCTCCGTGAGAAGCCACCTTGCCAACTCCCGCCTCCCTCAAAGCTCACTCCCACGCCCCACTGTGTGACGTCATCGGGACTCTCCCTCCTCTGCACCCACGGCTGGGGCACCTCTCAGGACTGGCATCCTCACTGGAGCCCCCTGTTGACGGGAAGGCCCCGAGGGCAGGGTCTCCACCTGGCGAAAGCATTGGTTCTACCTGTTTTGCTGCACTCCCGCGGAAGGAGAAACTGCAGAATGCAACCTCCAGGGTCCTTTAGCCAAGCATCCTCTCCCCCCATGCCCACCAAACACCTCCCTTTGGACAGAAACCCCTCCCTTTGAACAGGGGCTAGCTGGGCCTGCTTACCCCTCTCCCCTTCCTCTCCTCTCCTCCTTCCTCTTCCTCCCCTCTCACCTTTCCCGTCCTTTCCTTTCTCGCCTCTACAGCTGTAGGCCTCTCCAGTCTGGGCGTGGGTGGTGTTTGGCTGGGCCCGGCTCCTCCACGGCCCTTTCCGAGGGTCAGAGAGAGGTGTTAGTGTCAGAAAAACATTGCAGTCAGCTCACCCAGCGGCCTCAGGCCCTCCACCACACCGGTGGCGTCATCCGCCGGCCGCAAATGGGAGGCTGGCGGAGTAATGACTTACACATGTCCCTGGCTGCGCCGGGACGCCTGCTTGCTGAGTTCAGGGCCCATGCTCGCAGTTCCCGTGTTCCTTCCCCATAAAATTAAATTATTCTCCTAGGGGAACCCCCACATCTACTTTCTCATCAATCAAATCTTCCCAGCTCTTCTGGCGTCGCTGAATGCTGCTGGGCAGCTGCCCAAGGGGAGGAGTGATTTCCTGGGAGGGTCTGCCTGGGGCCTCAGGGGGGCGGTCACCGCCCTCTACAGGTTGGAGACCAGCAGAGACTTTTAACTCGTGCAGCACCAAGGTGCTCTCACGGGTCTGCCCCTGCTAAACCATAGCAGAGAGCCAAGTACTGCTACATGAATGTGTGGTCCCCGGGGGGTGGGCCCAGGCTGGGTCCTGGATCTCTGGTGCCTAAAGGACCATCCTATCGCAAGTTGGGGAACAGCCTGGGGAGGTGACAAGAGCCTGGACTTCGAAGTCTAGTAAGTCTGGGCCTGAATTCCCTCGACCATGCTGGCTGTGTGGCCCCAGGCTTGGTGCAGGGCGTCTTCCGCCTGCCCCTCCATTCCTACTCACACTGTTCACCTCGCTCTCTGCCACACTGGGGCTGACGACTGCGGAGTGTCCCAGGATG